CCACCGAGCCCCCAGGGACCCCCTCCGATCTAGTTTATGCTGTCCTACTACTGCTGCTTTTTATAGGCGCGGCCCGAGAGCACCAGCTTAGAGGATGACGGTCTTTAGAGAGCAGACCCACATGAGCCAAACTGCACCCGGGGTGCCATGCAAGAGTGTGTTGAGCCAACACACACATACCTGTGCACAGCATACACACATGTGCAAAGTCAACATTTCCCAATGACTCCTGCACCCCACAGAGCACAGGGTTAGGTAACGGAGTTCTTCCTGGATTGCGGCCTTGTCCCCAAATAAACTTGACAGACTTCTAAAGATTCAACCATAAGATTACAGCATTTTAAATAATGTGGCATGTTTCAAAACAAATGTCCAAATGGCTTTGTGGAGGTTTAAAGAAATCAATGATACATCAATGAAACTAAGTAAATAAAAGTATGATAATTGAATGTAATAAAAGAGGAATACATAAAAACACACCAAGTAAAGCTAGTCTATAATTTATCAAATGAAGTTTAGTCAATCTATCAGCCATGCCACAATTGATCTGTCGCTTTATATTTGCTTTTTGATTCCATGTCTGTCTCATTGTTTACTTTTGTTGATTGCATGACTTTGCTCGCTTATTGAGGTGAGATTCCTTCTTTAGGCCTCTAGGGGTTCTTTAAATGTCACCTGCACACCATGCTTCTTCACTTTAGATGCTGTGTTTCTTCAGCTCTGTCTATCGTGCAAACACATTCAAATAAGAAAGGAATCTAGAGGTTTCTCTCTGCCTCTCACCTGTGACACATTGCAGAGTCAGCAGGATACTCAAGTTCAATCCTCAGCTTTAGATATACGCTGGTGCATCTATTCTCTACGCTATGATCTATCAGCCAATTGTTTCAATGAAACTGAAGTGAGGTGCTGCTGCCTCTCAGGGAAGCCTGCAGACCTGTGGAGCCCGCTGGAAGGCCACGGAAAGCTCTACTGATCTTGGTATAAAAACAATGGCTGCCAACAGAGGAGAGGGGTTAGGAGGCTTGGGCAGGGGACAGGGGGTTTAGAGAGGTGGAGGATGGTGAAGGGAGGAGGGAGGGTCTGTAGGGATAAAGCATAGCGGGGGTAATCTCACATGCTCACATATTATGTAACTTGGAGAGAGCGGTTTGAAGGCTGGAAAATTACTAGAGTCACTATGTGTGTTTATGTCATCTGGCATGCCAATGTCACACAGTAGCACGTCACCGCCACCATCACTGTGTGCAGTGCATGACAGGAAAACACAGTTTGTTATAGCTAAAAATGCATGTTTGCATGATGACCGGTTTTTTCATCTACTTTGCTTTTGCAATTTAGGTGGAGTGTTGTCTTTTATATGGTTAAGGAGGTCATGTCCTGACATTTTCACAAGATCGCCATGATGATTAAATGATGACATTAAGAGGACAGCCATCACACACGCTACATGTGAGCATTATTCAGGTGAATAGATCAGCAGATTTACAGATTACGCTTCTCAGTGACCTTAATTATCTTACACAATCACTTTACCTTCCTTTTATCTCGCATCTCTTCCTATGTCCATCCGAATAAAAGGGCAGGACCCTGTTGTTATTACGTTTTCATGCTTTCATTCCGCAACCATCTCTTTCATTCAAGTGTCATTGGCGGAGTCAGAAAATGGACTTCAGAATTTATGAAGAATGCAAATTTCTTTCTTCTGTTTGCTTCCAGGAAATAGAAATAGGCAAAAGTCCTTGGGGGGGGGCGGGGGAATTGATGTTTGATGTGCAGCTGAGAAATGTTTTTCTTTGAATATTGGTCCAGTGGATTTATCCAGTGCTGGAGTTCTATTCAGATTTTTTCCCCCAAAATAATGTAACATAACAAAAACAGTAGAATAAAAAAAGGGCAGCTATTTTATAGCTAGGCTTAGGCTTATGCTACACATTTGTAAAACACTAAAATGGGAAGGTCACCTTGTTGTAAGCTATGATGCGAACATTTGTATGAGCAACTGTTGATTACGAATGCAGATAACAATTATTTTCCTTATCAATAGCCGAAGTTATCAAATATTGGGAGTTTAAGAAATAGGCCAACAAACTAAAAATGTCCATCTCATTCTCTTCACTTAAAGGTCCCTTGTTATACTGTTTTTTCTCTAAAATGTGATCAGCTCATTTTCAGACAGGTTTTTATATAAATGGATCAGGACAAAAAGTCAGCAAATCTTTTTTTCTGAAACTTTCAGAATCTCTTTACACAGAGGCGACACATGTTTATGTATAAAAGACATGACAAGTGGATTTTGCATAATAAGTGACCTTTAAGCAGAACAACCTTAATGTGACCTTACATACACAATGTCTACACTGGGATATTAAGGGGACAAACCAGAGGATTTCCCAGTTTAATGGCTTTAATGCCACAGGACTTGGGCATAGGCTCGGTCATGGCAACATCTGGTGTCTGCTCCCTCGTGTGGGTCTCTGTGTGAGACACCTCAGGCTGCCCTGCAAGGCTGGGAGCAGGTGTCAGGCAGGCAGAGGCCGCATGGAGCCCCGGGCCCCCCCCACCTCGCCCAGGGAGAGGTGGGCCCTGTGGATGTTCCCTGCCAGTAAAGAGAGAAATAGAGAGGTCACTTGAGGAAAGGTAAAAGACAGACTGTGGTGGAAATTCCACACTTAATGACCTTCTGGTAAGGAATGAACAAATAAGTTTTAACCAAAGTTGTGTTAAGAGTTATAGCATTTAACAGAATCAATCTATTTCCAGCTGGAAGGACAGATAACCCTGCACCACCGACGTACAATAATCTGACTCTGTTACAACAGAAAAGCACTTTATACAGGAAAAAGACAAAAGGGGGGGAGGTCTCAGATAGGGAATTTACATTACAGGCCATTGAAATGTTAGCTAGACGGGCGAAACTTGCATACTAATTACAAACCTAAGATCTATGATAATTGCCTGACAATGGACAAAGCGACACCCTTCTGTCTGAGAACATTTAGTAGCTAGGCTTGAATTTAAACTGTAAGCAAATAAAGTTACAGTGACATTATATATAATTAAATTAGACTTGATACATTTCTATGATACAGATAAGTTAGCAAACCAAGGGATGATATCATGATTTCAGTTATGACGCATTGTGGTGATGGAGAGGAGAGGGGGGGAGAAGTGAGTTAAATGTCAAGGAATGAAGGATGGATATGGAAGTAAACGGGATAGAGGAAGCAGAGGATCAAGTGAGATGGAAACGAGAGGTGAACGAGATAAAGACAGATAGTGTGTGAGATCCAGGGGAGACGGGACAGCTGGAAGTTGCGTGACGGGATTAAAATGTGTGTCGGGTGTCATAAATAAGGGTAAAATCCACGCTCTATTACCCTGTGTTGTCTTGTTTCACAGCAGCAGCTTTCCAACATGCGGCCAAGTAAGCCTCTGCTTTGGCAACATGCGCCTCACTGCGATGACGCACACCTCCCTAAACGAAAAGAAGGGGAACCAACCACAAACAAATCTCTGAGTATGGAGCAGTTTAACACAAAATAGAGCCAGGATTAACTCTCCTCCATGTGGTGCATTAAAGAATGTGCCAGGGTTCATGCCATGGACAAGGTGGCTTTTTCCACAGAGGACACTTTTCAATACCTTGTTTGTTCGACTTGCCAAGACCACTTAGCTAGCTGCTTTCATTCTCAGCACACTTTTTAAACAACATGTTTTCAAAAGGTAGTTTTATACATGTCAGCTATATATCCTTTTTGTGGGAACGTTTTTATATCTGCACGCTTTCTTTTCTGAGCCTCACACATTCTTCTCAGGGGTTTTATCAGTATATTTTATTAATGACATTCTTCTCTTTTGTGTAGCACACAGTCCCCTCCTGATTTCTTAAAAGGTTAGTTGCTCATGATTGACAGAAGGCGTTTCAAACTTGACTTTTCAGTTTTTAATGGTGCAGAAAGGGGGCAAAAAAATCCAGAAAAACCTCTCAAACCACTCCTTAAGTATAATCTGCTTCAAAGCTGCAAATGGTTGCTACTAATAACTGTTGTTCATTGATGACTTAAATGATGAATGAATTATCCAAATAGTTCTTGAATCATTTTCTTGATACTTGTATTTTTTGCTATAATACAGCCTAAATGTCATTTTATAACGTGTTTCCGCTGCACTATTTCTTAAGGCTCTTAATGTCTTTTATTTTTGTAAAGCACTTTGAATTGCCTTGTGTTGAAAGGTGCTATATAAATAAACTTGCCTTAATATATCTACGTCTTTTTTCAGTAAGGCAAAATATATGGGATTTCACAATACTTATCCTGAAAGGCCGCTTTTCTCAACAACAAAAAAAGACCCACACCACCACAGGCAGGGCATGGGATTGGCGAGCTGCAGGGCACAGCAGGGCATTTGTTCCTGTGAGGGTAGAGAGTTTACTGTAGTGACTTTTTCCATATACAAAGTGCAGACCTGCAGTCCGCCTGTCTGTCTGTCTGCTCTCAGATTAGCAGCGGCCTGGCTTTAGCCTGCAGGGATCAGTGTGTGTTGATTATTGGGACTTTACAGTGGAGGGCAGTGTCTGATTGCTGGGGCTCATTAAGTCTAAAATCCCACCTTCCATGGTCCCTCTGTTTGTGAGAGTGGTCTAAGCTTGTCTTAATTGCAGGATCATTTCTGACTTGAGCAAATAGCATGAGTTTCTCTGCTGTTTTTCAAAGCATACCTTTCACTGTATCTGTTACAAGCTACATAATGAGTCTTCCTCTACTCACTTTGGCATCGGACCTGACCCGTGTGCACTGAAACTTGTCGGCCAATCAGCCAACTGGGCAGCAGCACTGATGATGTCAGCCGCAGCATTCCTTTCACCAGCATCAACTCTCAACAATCTCAATTTGATTTATAGGGCTGCATTATTATAATGATATGAAATGTTGGCCAGTTAGATTACTTATTTATTTATGGCTGCCCTTTATGTTTGTGTGTGTGTTTGTTTATAGATCCGGCGCAGGAGGCCAACACCTGCCACGCTGTTCAGAGTAGCCGACCAATCATCTCCCGAGGATGATCAGTCCACCCATCAGGTAAAGGTGAAGTGACAACACTTTTCGAAGTGTCTGTGCATTCTCCTCAATCCACCACCATTTCCTTCAAGCCTATCCCATGAACTCAAAACAATGCACACAACCTCGTTTTGGAGTTTCCATTTCATTGTTTAACAACATTATTCTGTGTTTTTTTCCAGAATCTGCTGTCCGCCTTATTAATACCACCTCCCAAAGTATAGATTTTGTTAAAACTCTTTCATCCTTGCTTGTGTTCATCACAAACTCATGCTGTGTGGTCAACCATTTTTTAATCCCCAAGAAAAGTGTAATTCAAATTGTCATACATTTTAAATCCCCTGAGATTAAATGTTCAGTGTTTTATCACATTTGAATTGCAGTTATGACCTAAGTGAGAAAAAAAGTGTCCTTGCACGTGTGCAGTAGCACTCATGGCATTTCTCAATGTCATATGGTAAATATTGCATCACATGACTGACATGTAGTGACCTTGCAATACCAAAAAAGGGAGTCTAAGTAATAAAGAAGGTCTATTTTTATGTAAAGTTGCAGCAATGAAAAACACTGCATCCTGGGTTTGAACACGTCTGTTAATATCGCCATCATTACCTGAATCATCACTATACCTTGCCCTGTTATGCGAGGTTTTGGATCAAATGTGTAGAAATAAAGAGCCAAAAATGCTTATTTCTCTCCTATTTAGTACTTCACTGGGACATTTGATCTTCACTGTGCAGAAAAATGTGTGTGCAGAAGTCTGCTATTTACAGTTTCAACTCACTCTGATAGGGAGTGATGGTTTTTTGGAACCACTCATCCAGAATGCAAATTTGAAGTGTTTCCAGTGCACATACCAAAAAAGGAGACATTATGTGAAGCAGTAGAACTTTTGAAATGAAAATGATTTGCATATTTACACATTCTGTCATTTTTTCGTTTGAGGAGAAGGGTCAAATACACCAACAAATAATGTAACTGATCTCATTTGTGGAAAAGCCATATCATTAATAACTCAATGGTGATGTTGATGCCTCTCTGTTTGCAGTGGGTCGTAGGAGAGAACGGAGTACTCAAACCAAAACGTGTCAACCCAAATGTGTATCAGCCTCCATCACTCAGAGGTAGGTGTGAGCAGTGTTGCTACTACAGGTGGTGCTTGTGTGTTGTGATTCATCCTTGTGTTTAAGTCCTTTTTGTTTTACCGTGCTTCGCCGCAGTCAATTTCCTCCTGGCTTTTTCATGCTCACTGATAGCTGACATGTGACAGATGGGTAGATATGTATTAAAAGCCTCTATTTATTTTCTTTCTGCGCATGTGTGAAATGCACAGGCCTGTTTCCATGTGTTCCTGCTCTTACTCTACACTCCACAACAGTGTGTGACGGAGAGACAGAGAGGGAGAAAGAGAGATTAGTGTGTGACAGCTGTGAGACAGTGAGTGTGAGTCTAGGAACGTCTAGATCATCCAGGATTATAGTCAGTTGTGTATACAGCTGTTACACGCACACACACAGACACGCACAACACACACATATAGGCAAGATATATAACTCATGTTGTTTCATGTGAGTCTTTATGCATGTGGCTTTCTGCTTGTTGCATGTGGTCAATAAAGGGGCACACATTCTCTCAGAGCTTGTCAGCAGAGCTTCCTTTAATGGGGATGTATGGTTACGTGTGGCATATCAAGTGATGATATAATGAGCCAGGAAACCTCATCCCTGCATCAGAAATCTGTTTTTCATCTGCTCCTACGCACAGAGGGGAAGAGAGAGCTACCTCAGAGTCATTTCTGATTACACAACCTACCTTATCCTAGGATGAGTGACCTGCTCAGTGCCACACTGAGGGTGTGAGAGAGAGAGAGAAAGAGTCAAGGTGACCCAGAGGAAGTGAGAAGGGGAGTTAAGGTAATATCAAAAAAGAGAGGAGAGTGTATAGTGGGGGGATGGAGAAGAGGGTGAGTCAGCACTGCCAAAGGAAAAGCGCTGAAGATGGCGGGCAGGCGAGGAAAGACGAGGGTACAAACGAACAGATGGAAGAACAGGGTGAGAGATGGGATAGAAAACAGCAGCGGAGGCTAAAAAAAACCAGTGTGGGATAACGTTTTGCAGTCGCCTGTCTTTCTGTCTGTCAGTGCATGTGTTTAATTGGCTTCCTGCCTGCCTGGCATGTATTCAAAATCCCCGGTGAGGCTTGATACAAACTGACAATATTGAAGCGTGGTAAAACCAAAACAACATATCCCTCTATCCCTGTGTCCATGTGTTTTTGTGTCCGTCTCCCTGTGTGTGTGTATGTGTGTTGTGATTACCTGTGTGTAGCTGTGCAGAAGATGGCCGAAGCACATATGCAGCACCTAGGTATCTACCCCCCCTTGGAAGACCCTTGTGAAGGGGAGGAGGAGGAGGACGGCTGGCAGGGAGAGGACACATCTCCCACCCAAGCTGCTGGTGAGAGGGAGGCTCTCTGACGCAGCCTGGGAAAACACAACAGCAGCAGCAAGGACAAAAGAGAAAATAAATCCTGTGGCCTTTAAAGGCACTAGCGTTTATAAGCCTGCTTGGGTGGAAAATGAATTATTCAACAAATGTCTCTTGACACTTCCAGCATGGTTGCAATCTAATTGAATAGGATAGAAAAATATTTCTAAATAGTTTTAATCAGATTTTGATGGTGCAAACAGGATTTACTTTGAGTTATTGGAGTTCAGAATGCTGACTAATGTGGTGTATGATAATCTCATCACCTGAGAAAACATGGACCAGACTAGAAATATTACAAACGTAATATTTTAGTATTCTTCTGACAGTATGTGAGACAGCACTCAGTTTCAAGTTTGGACACATCAATGTATTTGTATTATAAAGCATATTGGAATGAGAATGAAGATTGCAGACTGAAAAACAAAAGTAAAAGACTTAAAAGGGCAATAAATACCACCACTTTTCCCCTGCTCTGAAATAACTATACAACTGTTTTTGTTAACAGTAGAACAGAGATGCGTTTCTTAAAGGCTGCCGTGGTTTTCAGGGTAACTTAATTTCCTCAGGACCAGCAGCACAGATGAAGCTCAGTAGTGTCATATTAGCTCTCTGTGTCGCGCCCAGAATCTGTCAGAGACCTGCAGCTGACTACAGGTGGACACACACACACACACACACACACACACACACACACACACACACACACACACACACACACACACACACACACACACACACACACACACACACACACACACACACACACACACACACACACACACACACACACACACACACACACACACACACACACACACACACACACACACACCTTTACCAGGCAGAGGCCAGACAGTAACACGCTCACAGAGAACACTGTCTGTTCTGATCCTCTGTATTCTGTTTCAACCCCTCCAACATATTATTATAAAGCTAATACAACTCATAACTCAGTTTGAGTTATGTGCTGCAACAGAACAGCTGTGGAAATTTGAACTCCGTCTACATGGAAAGAAAAAATAGTCCACAAATCTTATGTTGAAGTTAACTTTTTAGCATACTCCCTTATTATTTTGTCAAATGTATCAAAATGATCGTTTCTTCATTTCCATTATGTCAAATGAGAACAGTGGTATTTTATTCAGAATGATTGCTCTGTCAGCGCAGATGACAGCCTCTCAATAAATCCTCTGTGTTGAAGTCTGCTGAAACACAGAGTAACACATGATGTTTAGTAATTATAATCAATGAATCGTCTGGTCTTTAAAATGTCTGAAAATATTGTCAGTGTCCAACCAGCAGTGCAAAATCAGTGTCCGGTGTATTGCCAAGTTACATATAAGGAATGTTCCCTGACTTAATGGTTAATTACATAAACTTAGAAAGAAAAAAGGAAATAAGACATAAAAATACATTTATAATAGAAATTAGAAAAAGTACTATAAAAAAACATGTCAATATATCTGAATCAAAATGAAAGAGCTGTGCAGTTTTTAGAAGATATTCAGTTTGCAACATTTGCTCTTTAAAAATCGGCTCAACCAATTAATAAGTTGTCAAATTAGTTGAAATAATACACTAATGATTCCAGCTCTACTTTAAATATGAATGTCTTCGTGCCCACCAGTCATCTCCTTCACCAGAATAAATTGTACATTTCATCTATGAAGAAATGTGTTAACCAGAAGCAGAACTTAGTTGGGGATTTGACTTCTTCTTTTGACATCTGTCTTTGTCCCCTTAGATCACACAGAGACGACAACCGAGCAGTCAGACAAGTTCTCCAGCGTGAGAGAGACAGCCAAAGAGATCCAGGCAGCACAAGAGGAAGAGAGGGAGGAAGAGGACGAGGGTGAAGAGAAGGAAACGACAGAGGAGAGCAGGCGGGGAATTAACTGAGAGAGAGAGAGAGGGGGAAGAACTGGGGGGGAGTGAAGGTGTTTTATGAAATGGTTCAAAGCTAAAGACCTCAGATGAGATCAGGAAACGGGTGTGTGCTGTTTGGTGGATGTGAGGATGAGAGCTGAATGAAATCAAACATGAGAGTGAGCAAAGATCTCTGTTCACCTCTAAAGATTGAAAGGGAAAGGTGGATTAAAGAGAGGACAGAGAGAAGTCAGCCCTCATGAGCAGGTGAGGAATTATCTGCTGACTGAGCAGTAATGTCCCTTTGTTTATAATGAGAGTGGAGGGACAACAAGGTCAACATGACCAAATACCCTGACCAACAAGACCAGTCCTCCCTCATACCTTAATGCTTCTACACAAAGATACATGTTTCTCTAAAGATGATAATTATTACCACAATAAACACACTCACATATATTTGTCACAGAATCTGTCTCTTAGAAGACCCATGCAAAAAAAAGCCTATACATACGTATGGTATGATGCAAATTTATTTTGAAACATCATTGTTATGATTTGCATAAAACGTGCTTGTGCTGCCATCTTGTGGTTGAAATGGGATTGACAGTTTCAAAGTGATACTCCAGCTAATATCGATCTTAAATACATTACATTTATTAAAAGGCAATCTAGTATCAGTACATATTTAATAAAATATAGATACTGAAAACACTTGGAGTATCACTTTACGTAAGACTTAATAATAAGCTCCAAAATGTTTTGTCTATAACTGTGTTAAATCCAAGAGCCATTGAGTGTGTTTGAATATTTCATACCATATTTTTTACATTTGAGTATACTTTACTAAATGAATCCTAAAAGGGCAAAGCTACCTCTAATTAGATGGAAATACCAAACAGTTGCTTTCATGCATCACACATTTATTAAACTGGATTCATTGTGAACTGACACCATGTAAAGAAGAACAAATATTTTAAATTATAATACTGTTCACTAATTTCAGGCTAAAAAATTCCCTTTTGTATGTCATCGCTTTTCTATTGTCATCTTTTTAAATGTATGTTAGGATCTGTTGTTAAAGCTATTTTTCTAATCTAACGTCCGGTGTATGAGTAGCTCAGCTCTGTCCTGTTTCCACTCTCTATATCCAACTTGCAAGCCGAAAACCAGGCACTGTGGTTACTGTATAACTGACATTCTAGCAATGCTCTCTTTTTAACAACATATTGACTGTCTCTCTTTTCTAAGGTTTTTTAAATCAGCATCTGATCTGATTTCCAGTTTAGCTGAATATAAAGGATTTGTTATTTTAGTGCAAAGGATTCCAGTTGTGCCACAATAATTAAATGTTTGTTTCCTCTGAGCTGCGGTTTGTAAATAAAAAGTCCGTGAAACTTGGACCTCTGTCCTGCCCAAATGATGGGATGAATGGATGAGGCTCTGCAGCTGACTCTCTGTCCCCCTCCCCTCTCCACCGGGTCAGAAGAACTCTGGAAAGACTTGTATGAACTATTATGTTTATTCTGTCTTTATTTTATTTTTCCATTCTCTTGCTTTCTCAATGTGATGCTTTTGTTTTTAAAATAAACAACTTATCCTTTTTCTCCTTCAAACAGATGTATGTGTGGAGTCTAAATTCATCCAAGGAAATATGAATTTTCATTATTATTATTTTTTCACGCAAATTATCAGTCATTATCAGTTTTCAGTCATTATCCTCCATTAAACCCAGGTGTGGTGTGGTTTATCAAGACATAGAGTAGCTAGCTTTATAGTTCAAAACAAAAGATTTTATTTAAAATGTAATCAACATTACCAGAAAATATAGGAATGTGTTGCATCAAGTGGCATTATAACAGTTAATTTGATCTTTAAGGCCTCAACACACTACTCTGTATTCTGCATTAGTGTTAATAACTCACAACTATACTGCCGTTGAGTGGTCATGGTGTGCAACTAAAGCACTGTCAACTAAAGAAGCTTTATTTAAAATGTGACTGCCTTTGTTGTACAAATGAATGGTATCAAAGTCACATTTTTATTATTAGAATTTTTTACTGACTTCACATTATCAAAAAATACTAAAACGCATTTGTTGGTTAACCTTAAAAAAATAAAACAACTTTATCTTGGCTCAAAAGCACTGCCAACCATCCTACATGATTGTAAAGTATTGTTTATATGTGAATAGTTTCATTCTTTCTAGCCAAAGATAAAACCTACGCTTTGTGTAGGCAGAAAACTTAAACGGCCCAGCACTATATTATATTTAGAAACAACATATAGCTGTATAAAGTAGTGATGGGAATTACGGCTCTTTTAAGTGAGCCGGATCTTATGGCTCCGTTCCTTTCCGAGAGCCGTTCGAAAGAGCCGTTCAAAACAGCCTTTTTTTTGGCGGTGGAGAATATTCAGCCCAGTCTCACGGCATTTCGTGTTATAGTCACGAAATTAATTTAATCTATTGATTCGTGTTCACCAACACGATTTTTGCCTTTTTTTCGTGTCACACAGAACGATTTTAAAAGCAATGTATTTCTATTGGTAATAGGGTGAGTTGCCCTAATGTGGGACACTCCATAATGTGGGACACCTAAACTAAAATGGGTGTAGGTCTTCCGCAAACAAATGAGAGTCAATTAAATGATGGGTTAACACAAGCTGTGATGTCATGCGATCAAAACCGCATGACTTCTCAAATGTCCAATCACAGATGAGGGTAGAGCAACCTTCAAACAGGAAGTACCCTGTGCGAAGACCACCCAAAGGTAGTGTTTTGACAAACTTAATGTTAAGGTTTTAAATTTCGTATAAATAAAACAATCTTGCAAGTTTTTATCAGGATGTGTTTATGATATGTTTGTTCATCAGAAAATATTATAATATGGTGTAAATATACTCTATATTTTTATTTTAATAAATAAAAAACACAGTTTAAAAGGAGAGTGATTAGTCAAATATGCATAAATAAAAAGAAAGAATGCAGACTAGGTAAGATAAAGATAGGAGAGAGGAGTTTATCAAATATGTGTTATTGCTTGTGAGCATATTCTAATGGTTTTTTGATTATTGAAATATATACAGTTCTGTTTCATATGAGTGTTGAGAGCTGTATCCATAAATCTCTTAATTTTGCCGTCAAAGTGCACCAGATTGATGCATTTAACTTCAATTTAAAGAAACAAATCTTCTGTTGTAACAACAATAACATTATAAATAGTAAAATAGCTGAACATGGTATTGTACATTTAGCTTTGAGTGTTACTGACCTGAGATGTTTTCATTACATGAATTAAGGTGACTGAGGCTTTTTAACATAGACTTTTCAGTGTCCCACATTTTGCACAGAACTGTCCCACATTAGGAAATGCAGATTGTCTGAGACAACTTGGCACTAATGCCCCTTTCACACCAACGCGTTTTCAGCTCCGGCTCGGAGCTGGAGCCTGAAAAGTACCGGTTTTTCCTGTTCACACCGCAGCGGCGCCGCCTCTTAGCTCCGGAATGCGGTTCCGTAACCAGTGGCACACTAGGAATAAGTGTGCAAAAATATTTAAATTGTATTTTCGGATCCTGAACGAGACCGCCGGCAGAGCTCGTCTCCCCCTGCAGAAGGAAGCCATGCACGCAACGCAGCGCAGAAGGATAACTGCTATGCCCCGCTCTCTTTAACTCCAGTTGACTTTCTGCTGCTTTCCTCCATGGTGAAACGACCAGGGGTCTGTATGTGGCCCTAAAAAGTTTGCACACCCCTGAGCTAGAGGTAAAAATAAATGTTCGTACTTCCGGTTAACCATTCAAAATAAAAGTCCAGTCGGCGTTATGTAATTATACACTCTGTCCACCAGAGGGCAGTGTGTACTATTGATTATAAACATTTTTACCGTCAAAAAAAGCTAACACAACAGTTTAACCCTTGTGCCCTCCTCGAATTTTCAACCTTTCGACCCCTTCGTGGCAAAAATGTACACGCCCATAATAACTGCTACTAAATCATCATACATCAACATTTCTTTCTACTTTTTTTTTCATGAATCACTTAAACAACTTATAACGGTCCGACCCACAGTGAGGGGACAGAGAAGAACGGAGGTCGTTCTCCCAGGAGCTGGGGAAAACCAGGGTGTCCTCACAGATTGTGAGAAGAAAGCCCCCCGTGGTGGTGGATGGTGGGCCGGACCCTCAGTGTCCTCTCCACTTTCAGATGAAGGGTCAGAGGAACTCAAAGAAATGCTGGACTCCAGAGAGCATTCAGTGTCAGACCCCCAGCTCGAAACCTGTGTCTTCTTCAGATGAGGTCCTGCAGCTCGCTGGCAGAAGAAGGCTGCAAGATTATTTCTGAAGTCTCTTCTGCACTGAAAAGCTCTTCATTTGAGTTCTTCTCTTTGCTCCAGGTCTTTCTCCTTCTCTGCTCACTCATGAAATAAGCCCTTGGTCAAACTGCATTTTTATCTTTGGCAGCCAGGTGCATAAACACACTAACAGTTGTTTTTTGTTTTGAGTAATCAAGCAGCTCTTCAAAGACACATCAAACACATCCCTCAAAAGATGGCCTTTTTTCCCCATGAAATGATCTGTGCATGCTTACGATTCTCACACACACACACACACACGGAGAGAGGAGGAGAGGTGTGTGCTGGTTGTGCACAGGCCTAAAAAATTGTTGTTCTATCACCTGAGAGCACCAGGTCACATGCTGCAGGACCTGCTAGTCTGCTGCTGGAAATGACACACACATACACACACACACACACACGCACATATACACACACACACACGCACATACATATACACACACACACACGCACACGCACACACCAAACATCCATATACATACATACACACACACACCACTCTCGGGGCCCCCCTGGTAGTCACACGGCTCCATAATATAACTGGCAAAAATGTAAGAATGTAATGCATCGGCCTACACGGAAACTTGTGTAATCTGTTGGAATAGATAGAGTAGAAATATCAAATATCACTACTTTTCTTCTAAATGAAATGCTGACATTACAAAATGCATGGTTTTATAACTGCAATGCAGTGAGATCAACAAAATGTGGTCTGAATGGAAGTCAATGAGGCATTTTTTAGAGAAATGAAATATTAAAAATAATTAAACAGGCATTTAATGGTTAAAAATCCTGCCAATGATTGAATGTTTGGTAGTTTGGAGTACGTGAGAAGTTGTATATGTGATTCATGAAAAAAAAAGTAGAAAAAGATATTGATGTATGATGATTTAATAGCAGTTGTTTTGGGCTCGTGTACATTTTGCCACGAATGCATTGTATAACAAACGTTATTGCTGCAATACTACACTTCGTAATATACTGTGGTAACACAAAGTGCTTCTGTAGGAATGTGTCATGTGTTGTTCTGCATGGAGTCCTCTCGGTATGTGACAGGCTGTGACATATTGCTTCTCTCTTAGGCAATGTCAGTTTTGAACAAGTAAATGGTGACTTTTGTTTTATTGTTGAAATGTGTCTTCCTCCCAAAAATCATTTAAAGCAGACAGAGTTAGTTTCGTCGTGTGATTATCAGCGCTTTGGAGCGTCTATGTTCGGAGCAGCGAGGAAGTGATTCCTCTTGCGGCGAGATTAGTCTTTGATAAATCAGCCCGGAAGAACTGGGAACGTTAGGCGATGGTGATGGTGCTGTAAATCAAGTAAGTTTAATACGTTAAATGTTTTGTTTTATGAAATAATTAAATGCTCAATAATATCCACGTCATTTCCTTGATTCATAGCGTTGCTTCCTGTAGCTGTTAACTAAATACATGATGTGTGTGTGACATGATTCTTCATGGGGTAACAGTTAGCAAATAAGAGTAACTTGCTTAGAAGGTAAGTTAGCCGGTGTTAGCTAACCGTGATAGCTTAGCTCAGCTGTAAGTTAGCTAGCTAAACTTCAATCGATGTATAACCTTTTATTTCAAATGGTTAACCATAAGTGTGTATCTGAGAACCTGGTTATTATCTTTCTATGTCTTGTGTTATTGGCACCGCTTGTTGACATGGGTAGGTTTAGGTTAGCTTGTTAGCTCACCTGACAGATACTGAAGCACCTTGAGACAGTTGTTTGTTTTTTAGCTGAAAGTGAAAACAACATTTTATTAGTGTTTTAAAGATTTGAAAACGTCATGACCACTGCTGATGATTAACGTAGCAGTGTATTTCTATTTTAGGTAAATAGATATAAACTGGGGATGTCACATGATGCTTGTAAACATCAAGTTTATTGTCTAGAAAAAGCCAAAGAGACAATTGAAACTTGCTCGGTTACTGATCGTTATTCACTGGGTTTACTGTGTTCAAACAGACTACTTCCCTTTTACAACCATTGTGCCACAAATCAAGCAGTCAGTGCTAGTAACAGCCTCAAATAAATGCTCCAATAGGCTACTATAACATACTGACAGTTTGCTTTTTTAAAGGAGCATTGTTTGCTTTACAGAATATTGTATCCTGTATCATGGACAACCTTTCAAACATCTAGCAGCACACAAAGTTACTAAAAAGATGATATAACATATTCTGTGTATTCCAGGTTGTCTTCTCGGTGTCATGTAGTTGTTGTTTTTTGCCATATAAAGAAATATTTTCTTAAATGTAACATTGGTTGAGGACTGTTGAGGGCAAAAACAAATTACAGGTCTTCATGTCGAGAGGTGATAAGCTAACATCTTTGGCTGTGTGTCTTAATCTCATCTAGCTAGACAATGAATCAATCAACATGGAAAAAAGGTTTTCATCATCAAAATATGTATTTGAATCAGCATCAAAAAATATCATGGATCATGTGTGTTTTTGTATCCTATTCCTGATAAAATGGCCTGAGGTGAGGAAAGTCATGAGACTGCACGCATGGCAGCGAAAACATTGAAGGAAGTAGACATTCATACTCTGCTGCTTCCCTGTTGTTATCAATCCTTTTGCAAACGCACACACAATTGGCACACTAGTATAAGCATTTCTATACAAATTAAAACATGTTGCAAAAACAATTCTCTATTGCATCATAGTTTATTCACCACACATTTTCAATAAGATGTTGCCCTGATGAAAACAAGATAAATCAAGTTTATAAATGTTATCAGAACTCCTTTACAAAAACATTTCCTATTATTTGGACGCTGCTGTAGCACACATTGGAAATGAAGCAGTTTCTATACTTTAATACTCAGCTTTGAAAAGGGGATTTTACATCCTCATTGGGTGAACATTCAGATTTCTATAGCCCTTTTTTATTCACCTTCTCCTCATTTTTTGGTTGGCCCTTATCTCCCTTGTTGCAGGGGGAGTATCCTGTGTCAGCGCAGGAATGCCGGGTGGAGACTATGGGGAGCTGGGGGGCAGCCTCCCTGCCATCGCCTCCCTGAATGCCTCCTACTCTACGTCGCTGTCCCTCCCGTCCCCGTACCTGTTGGTAACGCCCGCAGAGCGCAAGGCCATCTCTGATGTCCGCCGCACCTTCTGTCTCTTCGTGACATTCGATCTGCTCTTCATCTCCCTTCTGTGGATTATAGAGCTGAATGTGGGTGTCAATGTTTTCTCCAAAGACAGAAGCTTTAGAGACTTGGGTAAAACTCTAATTTGGATTCTGTTTTTTAGCAGATATCCAGTTCAATCTGGGAGAGGTTAAAAAGTGAGGTCGTCCTTTATAACTACAGGGATTCCTTCTTTGATATCTTTGTAAGTGGTCAATCCAAGTCTGTGTACTTTCAACTTGATCTTGATCTAGAGTAAAACCAAAGCTTCTTCGTTGTTAACACATTTTCTATTTTTGTTCCTTCCTCCTTGTCTCAGCTCCTCGCTGTGTTTCGCTTCCTGTGTCTACTAGTGGGCTACGCTGCTTTTCGGTTGAGGCATTGGTGGGTTATAGCGGTAAGAGAGCCACAGTGAAACACACACTGATGAGACCGTGTATTATCTCTGTCATTAGCAGATCTGGATATTGATTATAACACGAAATGTATTCCTCCTTCCTCCACAGGTTACCACCTTAGTGACCAGCGTCTTCCTAGTTGTTAAGGTCATCGTGTCCAGTGTGAGTGTCCCCTCCTTCTTCACACGTGTGTATCTGGTGTCATGCCAGCAATCAGCTGAAACCACAGAAACCTTTTCACTTCTGCTTCTACGGCTCTAATCTGCCTGCTGACCAGAAAATGAGCTAATGGGACTTGTTGTTTAATGCAGCACAGAGAATCTTTTTCACCTTCTTCCTAACAACTTACACAGCACATTTCTTACCGACATCAGTCCAGAACATTTGTTTAGGTTTTTGGTTTTGGTCATTCTATTTATAATTTTAGTTTTTTTAGTAGAGGGAAAATGCATCTATTATTTTGGGTATACTAAATGCTAGGTGGAATTAGTTTTCATGGTCTATTCCAACTCCAATATTCATTCATTTTCTGAATTTTAACCCTTTAATTGTCAGTTTGGTTACAAAATGCCACTAAAATAAACACTTAAATTGATTATTAAAGACTGATGGTATGAGTAAAAGGGAGTACCCTTAGCAAAACATATGCCATATGTATTGACTCTTAATACCCTGAAGCTTGAGGACGGTATTGGTTTCTATCTCTACACAGCTCCTCTCCGTAAATGCCTTTGGCTACGTGATACCCATCACTTCCTTTGTGGTGGCCTGGCTGGAGACCTGGTTCCTCGACTTCAAGGTGCTCACTCAGGAGGCTGAGGATGAGAGAGGTGAGGGAAAGATTCCTGACAAGTTTGAACATGACTCCACAAAAATGTTTTTCTCCTTTTTTAACTTTTCTTTCCTCCTTTGACACCAGCCTACCTGGCAGCGGTCCATGCAGCGTGTGAGCGAGCACCCATGATCTACCCCCGCGCTGTTTCAGACGGGCAGTTCTACTCCCCTCCTGAATCCATCGCAGGTGATGTCTGCGCTGCTATGTAGACCGGTTATTGTTACAACAATGGTTTCCACTAGTCTTTTAAAGGTCTAGAAACGTCGCTGTATCAGAAACAATGCGCAACTTTAAAAAAAAAAAAGTAATATGGTCTGTGTTTACAATTAGCAAGCATCGCTAACACTCAGAGCTAACGCTAGAGTATGTGTAAAAAAGCAGGATATAAGAAGGTACTCTGAAATAGAGCATGGATGTATAATAAGAACTGGATACAGCGTGGGAGGCGGGGTCTCGTTCTTTCCTATGAGAGCTGCTCATTGACGCATGAAGGCAAAATGGCCCAACTTTTGAGAGAGCGAAACGTCACAGATTACCCGTCATGCCTGGCTAGAGCATGCACAGTTGAGTTGCCCCTTAAGCCCCGCCCCCCGAGCTCCCACTCTCGGTCACTAGAATGAATGGGGAGAGAAAATACATCTAGATTCGGCTTTTAGTGCATTTTACAACTTTAAGGACTTAATGATTATAATAAGGGCTATAAAATAGTTCATACTGGGTAGTTTATTTAGTTTTAAAAAAATTATCCGCTGATTTACAGACGTCTCTTTCGCCATGTTAGTCAATGGGAAAAAGTTGTTTTGGGCCGGGTGACGTCACAGACTGATACGGAAGTTGCAGTACGGCCGTTTGGACACAACGAATGTTGGGCACAGAGTCCGGTGCACTTCCTGGGGGCTTGAAATAGAGGGGTATGAAGCATGGCTACAATGGGTGATCTGTTTGGTATTTTCAGCAAAACATTTCAGACATGTTTTGTATAGGTATGGCCCTATAATATATTGTTCAAATATAGCATAATAGGTGAGCTTTAAAGTTTGTGAGTTTGAGGAGAAAAGATCAAGGCCATAAAAGTTTGTAAACTTTAATTTTCTTTTGAACAAGAATAGAAATTACATTTATTTTGAATGGTAATCGTCAACAGTCATCTTCCTGCATGTTTCTCCCAGAGTTGCCTCAGTGGTTTATGCACCACCTGCCTCGAGAACGTGCCCTAACGTGTGTGCATCAGGGATTGAAATCAAATGATGCAGGTTAAAGAGCTGCCAGCTAGAATGCTAACGCTAAGCAAGCCTTCAGCTATGCCTGGAAAATGTAAATTCCAGGACTCTCGTCTTACCAAGGACGTACAAAGACTGCTTTGTTAAAGATCTGCGGGACATCCATGCAGTATGGCCTGATGCAGACCCTGCAGCACATCAATAATAGTTCACGCCATGACCTTGATCTGTGTCTTAAACTATGCTGTGAGATAAGATAAGATAAGATGGACTTTATTGAACCCAATTTGGGATTTGTTTGCGTTGCAGCAGCATAAAAGACAAGGCATTGCACATAAGTAGAAAGTTTAGTAGAATTAAACAATTCTAAAATGTAAACATCTCAAAATTGAAATAAAACAGCATTAAAAAAAGTTGAAATATTATTTAAATTAAATGTAAAATGTACATTGTGAGTTTAAGTCCAGTTATCCAAGAGAAGTTATGGAGCAGAGAGTTCTCTTGGTACATGAATTTGATGAAATTTGACCTAATAAAATCACTTAAAAAGTTATTGAATATATTTTTAAGAAGGTTTGGGAGCCCTTTTAAATACATACAAGTACAGTCTTTGTTTGTCTGTTTGAGGGTGTTTGTTTTCCAATGTGGTTATCCATTTATAATCTGCGTTTTGCTTTGAACAGGCTCTGAGGAGGATCTGGACGAGGAGGGTCTTGGCCGCAGAGCTGTCACTGCACAGGTACCTGAGTCAGTCTGAGGGTCTGTGTACTCCTCCTGTGATCAGGACTCATGGGTTCGTTTCCTTTTCTTCCAGGAGAAGGAGTATGTGAGACAGGGTCGTGAGGCCATGTCCGTGTTGGAACAGATCCTAGCCCAGGAAGAGAACTGGAAGTTTGAAAAAAACAATGTGAGTATACAATTAGGCTTTTACATGTTTTAATATATCCAATAGAGAAGTGTCTTCCAAACTGCAGTGCTAAAATGAATCACAGGCGCTGGCATGATCTGATTTGTATTCTACCAACCGAAAAGTAAAAAGTATTTTACTTTCGTTTGGATCGATACCATACTGCTTCCCCTTTCATTTCAGTGTGTCTAACAGTACTTTGTTCTGTCAGGACATGGGAGACTCTGTCTACACTCTGGAGATTCCCTTCCATGGAAAGACTTTTATTCTCAAGGTAAAGCAGCACCGTGTCCGTTCATTATAAAACTGTCTTATTGAGGCAACCCCCAGTAGTTATCCAAAGTAAATTATATTTAGACCATAATAATGTGATTGTTCGCCCATGTCATGCAGTCATTTAGGTGTTGGTTATTTAACATGAATATTTACAAATGTGTCAAATATGACTAATGGACATGAGATAATAGAACATTTTTCATATCTTGATTATCCTGGTCAACATATTTACAACAATATTCCAAGAATCATCAACATCTAAAATGCTTAAGAGTCTTTAAATGGCAAGAAACAAATATTAATTTTGCATCCAAATGGAACATAGGCTTTTGCAAGTGCGATGTTTACACAACACTAATTATAATCATTTCTAAGCCATTTTGAGCCTCATTGGAATTCATGTGTAGATTCTGTACTGCAGTGTGAAGCCATGCTGTATATCAGAATTCACTATTTATGTTCTGCTCTGCCATTACTAAAGTAAGTACACATTGCAGCTGACCCTAGGACATGGTGGTGGAATAACTTGTTACTGATGTGGTATAACATTAGATCAGAAATTAAAGAGACTTCCTGCTGCTGTTCCACTGGCGTCAGATCAACTGGAGTCACATAGCAACCCTTCTGCTGGGCCTGGATGACCTGTGTGTGTCGAGTCCTGTCCTGCAGTGTGTTGGCTCTAAAGAAAATCTTTAGAGATAGACACCAAGAAGAAGCTTTCTCTTCAAGATTCAAAAAGCATTCTTTTTATATATCGCATAATGAGAGAAAATGATCTTTGGTTAGTGGTTCACAAACAAGAAAATAAGATGTATCCATGACCCAAACACAAAACTACATAAAAAAAACAAGCCATTCTGTTAAATAAAAGCATGTGAGTTCAGTTCCTCTTTGGTTAATGTAGCCAGCTCTCGGTCTAGTGCCTGTCACTCCTCTGTGAGGGAAAGTGACACGGTTTACAAAAAAACTGTGTTGGAAAACTTCATTTTGAAAAGTTGATGTGTATTTTTGTTGTGTTCAGGGCCTCATGCAGTGCACTGCGGAGCTTGTGTATCAGGAGGTGATCCTGCAACCAGAGAAGATGGTCCAGTGGAACAAAACTGTTTCTTCCTGCCAGGTGACACCTTTTATCCATCCATCTGAACAATTATTGTTATACGATTAGAGCTGCAACGATTAGTTGATGAACTAATCACAAACTATTTGAAAATTAATGAAGTAATGTGTTTTTTGCGGTCTCTCAAGTATGACAAATGTATGGGTTTTCTCTGCTTTATCATTTCAAATTAAGTATTGCGGGCTTTGGACTGACAAAACAAGACATTTAAACACGTTTATAGACCAAACAATAAATCTAAAAAATAATTGTCAAGTTGATCGACAATTAAAAAAGGGTTGGTTGCGGCTCCTATTTATGATTAAAGTTTTAGTCATATTGTTTATAAAATATTCTAGTGTTTCTTCTCCCTGTGTGGGACAATAAAGTCAATCTGGATCCGGACATTTTGTCATTGTGTGTTTCCAAACTGTAACAGTGGTCTCTGCCTCTCCTCAGATCCTTCAGAGGGTGGACGACAACACTCTGGTATCATACGATGTCTCCTCAGGAGCAGCAGGGGGGGTGGTGTCTGCGAGGTACAACAGCAGGCCTCTCTCCTCTCATCTCTTCTTCCTATTTTCTGTCTTTTTTTATCTTATTTTCAAACTGCAGGTCTGACATAAAGTAAATTGATTGACCGATGGATTTTTCTTGCTTCAGGGACTTTGTTAACGTGCGGCGGGTGGAGCGCAAACGAGACTGCTACCTGTCTGCTGGCATGGCAACCGACCACCACGCCAAACCTCCAGTCGGTCGCTACGTCAGGTCAGACCGCGAACATCTTATCGATTTGACAAAAGTGCGGTTGGTTTTTATTTTTCTTCTCTAACTTTCCTATCTACTCTTTCTTTTGATTGTCGGGATCAGGGGGGAGAACGGTCCTGGAGGATTTGTGGTCCTCAAATCCAGCAGCAACCCGTCCGTCTGCACCTTCATCTGGGTCCTCAACACTGACCTGAAGGTGAGAATAACAGTCTGCAATCAACTGAAAAACATTTGAAATACAGAACACACTGAGACAAAGGGCTGTACCCAATGTCTTGTTGTTTTAGCTGAAGTTTGTATTAAGGTTTTCTTGTAAAGCTTCAAATTTCGTCTATCACAGTTTATGATGTCCTCATCCTAAAACAAAAAAGCATGAGCCAACAGTTTATTTTATTTTTGGAAGTTTAAAACCCACAAATATGGCGTGAAGCTGGATATTTATTTCCATAATGTTTTACCTTTTAGACTTTACAACACTGGAGTTATAGGAAATGTTTTGATCAAGTGGAAAACAGCCACCACTGGAATCTAATTCTACCAAAAGTATGACACTAATACTATTAATGTAGCCTAATCTATCTGTAACCGTGGAGAAATCCCGGCTTGAGAAAGAATAAATAGACAAGCAAAATAAGAATTAAGAAAAATTGTGGAGCATTTAGTTAGAATTCCAACGTTAAGAATAAAGCTTAGAGATTTCTGTATAGCCCTACTGAGGCAAAACAACGGTTCCCTGATGGGACTGTGACTAAACAAATTGATATTTGACCTGACGAAGGCCTGAGATTAGAAAACAAGAAAGCACCTTTATAAGTCCTTAAGTCCTTTATCTATGAGCCATCCATTAATATAGTTGAGATATTTCAATATGGAACAATGAGGTGAGCCATCAAGCTGCCATCCATAGAGCCATGAAATTGTTGATGATTCAAGATGCATTTGAAAATAAACAAAATGCATACGTTTAAATCATATGTATATATAACAGTTCAAAAGTGTACAATGTGATTGAAGAACAATATTTAAAATCACTTTTTGTGTCTTGTCAGGGCCGACTGCCCCGCTACCTCATCCACCAGAGTCTGGCCGCCACCATGTTTGAATTCATGTCCTATTTACGCCAACGCATCACTGAGCTGCGGCCTTCCTTCCGCTCCGTCCACCTCACCTAAAACAGGAGGGACATCCCAGCTGGTGGAGAGGTGTCACTACGGTTTGCGTTTAGTGGACTCCAGAAGTACCCTGAGCTGAAGGGATGTGCTACCCTGACTGAAAATACTGGACTTCTGAGCATAGGAGATGAGACATGTGACCACACATTCACCACATTTCAGTCTCAATAGAAGAGGAGTTATTCAGATTTCAAATATCAAACTCCAGAGTTTTTTTTTTAAGGGTGGTCACATGTATTTTAATGTGGACCTGTATATGTTTGGCTGTGTCCCTTTGTGTATATTGAAAGCTGTGTTTCCTCACAATGACATTGCAGGACGGACATTACTGAAACAAGGAAACATTGATGAAGGTATCTCACTTGTGAAAACAGAAGTGGTGCATGAAGCAGCTGTCTCTCTGAGCCGTATCTTACTGCACACACTGCTAGCCATTGTTTTTTTTGTCTTTGTTAAGAGCATTTTTTGTGCATGTTTTCACTGACCAGCATCTTGTATATGTTTCTCTGCACCTGCCCTAACACTAACCCCCTACAGTATATTCTTCTCAACTTCACTGGGGTAGATGTGAAAACAAGTCACCCTTCAGTCCTGCCCCCACTAGAGGGAGACACCACTGATCTACATTCTGAAAACCTCTGACTTTGAAATGATATCCAATGCTACTGTGTAATCATCCTCAACTGAGAGTCAGATCAGGAGGCTGTTCTGTGTTGCAAATGGATTATCGAGCTCATTAAGACAAAAGATCAGCTTACATTAGGCTGCAGTGTGCTTACTAGAGCTGTCTTTGGTGCCAATGGACCTCCTGTGGCCTTATGTAAAAAGCTGACTCACTTGTTGTCATCAAATGTATATCTCTGCGCTACTAATATGAATTATCATTCTATTTCTGTCCTCCCTCAGACCTGAGATGTTTTTACTTTCATGTCTTACTCTCTCATAATGCATAACATTCTTCTTTTAATCAATTAGAGAATGTTGCCCCTGGCTTGTTAAGCTTTGTTTCAAATTCTGTACCTCGGAAAATCGTGATTTCTTAATGCATATGTAACTAGAAGCTCAGTCAGCGAGCGCAGACCTCTGCTGCGGCTCATTCTATTCTAAATGATGTCTGTATCAGATCCATGACTCCATTATGTAATTGGTTCTCCTTTGGCCTGAATCAAGAGTCGTGAACATCTGGCTTGTAGTTATTTTCTAAAAAACAAACAAGCAAACCAAACTGAAAAATGAACCGCCTCAGAGGAAGTTATAAAACTAGAACAGGACTGATTATTGGTTCAAATAGCTGTAGAGACCAAAGAGCGTCACTTTTAAATCGATTAAACAATTTGGTGCCTTTATCAAAGACACATTACATGTCAGCCCTTTCTTTTGCTTTGCATTTATTTTATACAGTTGAATCAATGTATGCTTATAGAGCAGGGGTGTCAAACTCAATTTCATCGGGGGCCACATTCGCATAAAGGTTGCACTCAAAGGGCCGGTTGTAACTATATATATATATAAAATAATATATTATATTACATTATTGCCTCTGAATTGGATTATTATCGGATAGGATAATAATTTAGTAATTAACTACGTCTGAAAGCAGAAGTCCAGGGCAAATAATTGCAAGTCCCTTCAGTGCGCATGTCACAAAACGAGATGCATTGTGGGACATGTAGTTTATGGGCAACCTGCTTCTGTAAAGTGGCATGTAACCGTATAATAAACGTATTATATTCTTTGCAAGCTCTTGCGGGGCCACATAACATGAAGTCGCAGGCCGGATTTGGCCCCCGGGCCTTGAGTTTGAGACCCCTGTTATAGAGCCTGCTTCGAGGACTTGTTTCTCTTTGATATATTTTTTTGTATAATACATTGAATGTGTTTATCAATGATTCATCAGGCATGTTCATTTAAAGCCATCACAGCAGTACTGAGCAACCGTTACTGAGTCTTAACCAGTGTCTTTTAGTGTTTAATAAATCTATGAACTCATGACAGCTTCCAAATCTCATTTAGACAAAAAAAGTGGATAATATAAACCTCTTTGTTTATCTTTCTGAGTACATTGCATATATGTACATACAACTTTTTTGCAATTATACTGATTTTTTCTTTTATTTTCTATTTTATTTTCCCCTCACACATGAAGACAGCATTAGAGGTGAATGAGACTCGACTTATCACACTAGATTCTACACACACTTTATCCCACTTGGATACTTGGGGGCCATTACTCTGTCATGAACAATTGTACCCTGTGACTTGAGCATATGTCACATGGATGATAGTTAGAGAGAAGGCCATGTTCACAATTCCTTCCCAGACCTTTGCTCTTTCATTAAAACACATGTTTTGCAAACTAAATTCTCCTTTGAAGTGAACATCAAAAATCTTTCAAATGAATCCATCAAATCAAAGGAAATGATCCTAAAATCATTACAGTCATGGTTAAGTCATGGAAACAGAGTGTGTGTAAGTAGACCTACTGTTGAAGACGATATGCGTTGTCCCTGGGGCAAAACACAATGCCAAGGACAAGAGGTGGAGCCGCTCACATGATTAAGTTGTGACTGTCTTCTGAGGCTGTGGGTGTGTGAATATGTTTTAGTTTTTTCATCGATGAGAGAGCGAGCGTCTCACTGCTCTCATTGTCCTTCATGTCAGGCTGATGAGAAGCACAAGTCGGCGGGCTGCCTTCCTCCTGGACGGGCTCTGGTTTATAATCTGGAGGACGGACCTCTGCTGAATAGGAGCCGCGGCTGGGCCCTGAAAATGGGAAGCTGAAAATAAGGTAGAGTTTGGGGTTGGTGACTTTTTCGCTTTGTTACTATTTCTGACCTGTTGATCCTTCTGATACAAATGCTAAACCAAATGAATAAGATTTATTCAAGTGAACTTGTGACAGCTAACTTTTCTTACTTTGACAAATCTGTTTTGAAACACAGGCTTGTGAATAAGGTATAAAGAAACCCTTAAGAGCACCTACAGAACCAAAAGAAGTTGTTCTGCCATTGTGCGTCTGGAATTTCAACCATTGACTCTAGATGGGTTCTGCCTTCATGAAGTACTGCTGCTGCTGCTGCTGCAGCACCGCTGACGACGACGATGAGGATGACGAAAAGCAGCCTTTATTACCGTAAGAAGATATTTAAAAGGCCAGAAACAGGGTTGTCAGAACATACCATTTCATTTTTACTATCCACAAAGTTTCATGTGTGGTAAATCTGTTTGATTATGCATGTACAACCACTGTATGAAACTTCTGTTTGTTTGCTGACCACACAGGCAGGATCCCTTGGAGTATTTTAACCGTGAAGTCCAGAAGCGTCGTGATGAGGAGACCAACCTGTGGAGTGAACCGGGAGACCCCAGCCACTCAGAGAGACAAGACGACCGGGTGCTGTACGGCCTGCTGCAGGCCAGGACCAAGACCAGCATGGGATCCAAGGTATGGAGTATTCTCTTCACACACAATACAGATTTGAGGCTTAATTTAAATCATGTTTGCCTGAAAATGATTACAATTAAGACAATTAACAGTAGTACAAATAGATCCCCATTTGAGTGTTCAGTTATTCAAATCAGCTTTGGGGCAGCATGACAATGATGTTTTTTAATATAAGAGAGTATACCAGAAGAGCCTTTTCTATTCGAGAAATGACACCTGGCACAAAGAAATACTTTTGCAAAGCTTTGTCCTTGTCTTGTTTAGGGCTATCGGCGACTGAGTGTTGACATTGAGGCCATGAGAGATACTCGTCGGGAAGTCAGAGACAAATGGAGGCAAATCCTGGAGAACTTAGGTAACGCCAGGCAGAGGAGATGTGGGAGAGACTGTCACTTCTACAGGACAAAGTAACCATACAGGGTTTGCCTTCTTTTTCTAGGTTTCATGGCAGAGGCAGACTCGCTGCTGAATGTGTCAGCTGGAGCCTCACATGACCGTATGCGTAACGCCCCTGCAGCACGTGATCTGCTACATACACTCCACACTGATACTTCCCTCTTCAGCAGCAGAGAGACACCCCCAGAAAGATATCTACTAATCCTGGTGAGAGCTGGGGCTGGTCAGTAACTATAACCTGACCCAAAATGGGGGCCTGTTTACTCTTTCCCTGCCACAAGAATATGTACTGTCCCTATCCTCTTGATGCAGTCTTGTCCAGTATGTCTAACTGCCACTAATTTCATTATCCATAAAATCATTTGAATGCCTTTTACTGTATTTCTGAGATCAGGCGCATGAACGCGGTATGAATGAATCCTCTTACATTTTGGAAGGAGTAAGGCTGTCAAAGGAAACAGTCATTTAAACTTGATGTACTGTGACCATAAAAAACTGACGGATAAATCGACATTCCAAACAATATCAAAAGAGTGGGAAGGTCAGAGCGGCGGCCATCTTTATAGTTACCCCTGCCTTTGCAAAGAACTTAGTCTATCTGCGGACACACTGTAACTTCGATAAGGGTTAGGAAAAAATCTGGTTGTGGTGTCTAGTAGCAATGTTGGTATTCTACAGGACTCCAAAACACTGTGACTAAGGTATGGCTTACTTCTTTGTGTCACCATAACAACAAACAACAATAGCCAATTGATTTTGAACTAGTCAAATGACCACAGCAAACAGTTCAATGTCTGTTTAACTGTAATTCTATTTATTGGACCGTAACTGAAAGTACTCCAGTTTATAATTGAAGGTTAGGGTTTATTTTAGTATGAAGACAGTGCTTATTAGATACTAATTCTCCCCCAAGGGATTAATAATAGCATGTTGAATCTTATTGAAAAATGTCACATTAATTCACACCATTTCCCACATTCACAATATCTCTTTCTTGCACCAATATACTATTCATTTTCTGATTATCTTTCTACAGTTAACGTCCATCATTGTTTTAATTGGTCAAAAGTAGCTTCAGATCACAGTCGCTGGAGAACATCAGTTGCCATATTAAATTACAATCACATTTAGGTTCACTGCCTCAACCACTTTTTCTTTACCTCTTTATAGGACCGTCTCCTCTATCTAGATGTAGCAGACGATTTCCTGGCTAAGGCAAAGCGCTTCTATCCTCCAATGGATGATTCTGAAGAGGATGAGCCGGGCCTTGCTATAAACCTGCCGCTGCTGCTGGCCAGGATGGAGGCCAGGAACGGAAAAGGCAATGCAGAAACTGAGGACGAGAACGGGGGAGATGGAAACTTGAGTGACAGATCTTGAGATCTACTGGCTGCAGTAATAATAGACACAAGGCAGGGGGCAGTAGCCATCAACCTTGAAGACCAGGATGACAGAAATGCATAGATCCAACCATCAAGTGTCTTTTGCTGCTTCTTGGCAGTTTTAGGCTGAACAATTTCTAGTTTCTCACCAATTATACAGCTCGAGTCTTAGTGGGTTTTTCTCTTGTCGAAATCTTATGTGGCTTTGCTGATTTTCTGGTAAATGTTACTGCTAGCTTGCTCATTGTTTAGCTGTTGTGAACCTTCAGGGTAGAGATGTTCCTTTTAGAAGAGCCTCTTTATTTTTGTCCTGTGATTATCAACCCACATTTTATTCAATCACATGATCGATTACGACACTGAATAAATAGCCAACTGAACTGCTGTCAGATTTTCTTAAAGTTTCAAAGAATGTATGTTTGTGTAACTTTAAAACATTTAAGTCTAACATGTTGGAAAGATAGCAGATGGAAGTACATTATGTTGAACATGTTTGCATTGGTTGTGTATGTGTCTTATGTGACTTTTGGGTAATGCAAAAAGGGTGTTTTGTCCCCTTCAGCAATTTACTGAAATGTGAAAGCCATTTGGAAGTTTGTGCATGTGATCACGTCTCCAGTTTATGATTAAATAAAGTTCCAGCCTGAAGCCTGTACAGTGTCACATGTATGTTGGTATGTTGCTTCCAGGGTGTGTCTTATGTCCATTAATATGAGTTTCTCTTTTGATCCAAAATGGCAAGAGGATGTAACAATTAAATACATACAAATTGGCAATGTGTATGGAGATCAAGTGAGCATTGGTTTCACTGAAACATTCCTTTGCAGTGGAAACAATGGTCCTCTTTGGTCTGATCCTATGCCCTAACTAATTAGATTGTTTGTTTACCAATGTCTGACTTACACTCTGATCCACAGACATACCTCCAATCCAAGTCTGGTGCTCCCTGACTTTCTAAATATCCCACTTTGACCAAACATGTTTCCAAGATGGACGAAGAAGATGGTGTTTGGGTCGTCAGCTGCTTGGTGTTGTTGCTGTTTTTTTGTAAGAGAGACACTGCTGAGGGCACATGTTTGAACACCAGCCTGCTGGCGGCCTGGCGCGTTGTCTCAGATACACACACTGATACTGAAATAGCTGATAACTCTGAGTGGAGTTGGAGACTGTGAGCATGAATCAATAGCAAGTTCACTTCTACTCATACTTTTTTGCTAGATAAGCACACTGTCACATCTGACTTGTGTAGGTGGATATTCTGTCCTCCCAAATCAATTTATTTGCCACAAAAACATTACTCAGACTTACAAACTTCATCACTTCCTGACAGGGCAGGATTTATCCTGAAATTGCCCTTCTCTACCCCCCACTTCCAGTCTCTCTCTCAGTGACAGCTCATCTAAATGTCACTTCCCAGCAACTGTGCAGTGCTGTTATGCAACACAAAGCTGTTCCTGTCCTGTCGTGGTCTGGTAGAGGTGGAGGGGTGAGGATTGGGAGGAGGGTGATCACTGTGACAGGGCTCACCTAGTCACTGTTCACCTTTACAGACCCTCCACACCCCTGGCTTCATTAGCATTGCATGACTCACACAAAAACAGCAGGGATGAGACAGCCTGTGATATCCTTTTGCAGTTTCAGCAGGCCAGTATACCCAAATTATTACAAACCACTATCTACTATATTGCTCAGTATCTTGTGGATTCTAGCTAAGTTTGTGAGTCATTTGCAAAAAAAGACTAAACATGTAATGAAATCCAGCAATCAAAGATTAATAAGACTTATAAAATAGTTTGTTTATTTTATGTTTTTCATGTATTTCTTTTGTAATTGTGTTTCTACACATTTATTAGAAGAGAATCTTAATATTGTGAAAATCTTAACACTGAAGGACCGTGCAACGTGACTTACTACTACGTTTCTGAAATGACATTTCATGGTTTGCCATGGTGTCACAACATGACTGAAGACTCAGGCTCTTTTTCCCCACTCTGACATTGAGCAATAATTTACCAATGAAATGTCACCCCCTGCTGAGAAGTGACAGAAATGAAAGGAAATACTGTTACACTTAACAGGCAGAGGGACATAACTGTTACATTAGATAAACAGGCCATGCACAGTCAGTGGAAAGGAATGGCAGTCATTTACGCTTGAAAATATGCAGTGAAACAGTTAGATGTCATAATGAGGCACAGATTTAAGCAGATGGCATACTTTTGTCATTGCATTTGAAACTAATGAAAAACACATTTAAAGTCAGTGTGAATTATCTTGTCATTAGGATCATTATATTTCATGTAGCAAGTGTGTGGTGTCTCTGTCTCTGTGTGTGTGTGTGCGCGTGCGTGCGTGCGTGCGTGCGTGATACCTGATCTCTGGTCTTTGATGATATCAGTACCTGATGTGGATGAATGAGTCAGAGCCAGGGACCGGTAGTAACATCATACCAGCAGACAACTGTCTGTGTGTGGTGTGTGTGTCGTGTGCGTGTGCGATGCGTGTGGCGTGCGTGTGCGTGTGTGTGCGTGTGTGTGTGGTGTGTGTGGTGTGTGTGTGTGTGTGTGTGTGTGTGTGTGTGAGTGTGTGCGCCGTGTGCGCGTGTGTGTGTGCTTGCGTGTGGTGCGTGTGTGCGTGTGTGTGTGTATGTGTGCATGTGGGTGTGTATGTGTGCGTGTGTGGTGGCTCTTGAGGTGCTCTGCACTGAAGTGATGAATCACTAGGGAAAGCGCTTTCACTGTTACTGTGAGGCAAGCGCACTGTAATGGCATTTAATGAGGGGGAGGGGGTTTGATGTTGTTGGAGGGGCCCAGTGTTGTTAAAAAAACTCCTTCTGAGCTGTATTAATGATTTTAAAGTCAGCAGGATATAATGAGCTTTTCACCTTTTATCCCCCAGTGCAGATGTGGTTATTTCTGATCATACATGTCGGAAATGTCCTTTGTGTACAGTAAAACAGCTGCTTAATTGTTATCTTTCCACATTAACACAGTGTCACTTTGTGTACATCAAAGCCAAAGTATATTAAGATTCCTCGGAAGACTAAACCTGTTGTGTTTGTCTGTCTCCATGTTAATATAATCTTGGTAGAGAGTGATATGATGATACTCTCTCCTCTGAGACACTGCAAACCCGGCTGAAGTGGAAAGTGTTTGGGTGAGCGATAACAGTGGAGGCTGGGCATACACTTTGAGAATCAGGGGGATTCACAGCCCATTTACCCGTAACCCCTCCTCAGAGTTTGGGCTTCCAGCTCTCAGGGAATGAGACACGGTGCACTTGGTGTTGGATGTCAGTGCATACTGATTGTAGAGTGACAACATGCATCAGGAATAGCAACAGGACATCTATAAAAGCCGTAGACAGACGTAAGGCCAGCCAGACAGATCACAAAAAGAGAGGACAGGAGCCAGGAGACTCAGCCAGCGGGAGCATCACAGAGCACAGAAGACCCTCATCACAGACACAGAAGACCCATCAACAAAACCCGTTTGAGACTAAATATCTGAGACAGATCTTCCTACAGCAGAGACGATGCCATTCTGTACCGTCCTAGAGAAGCAAAACGGTGTGATGGTGGGAGCCGGAGCTGGCCTGCAGCGTACGGATGGAGAACAAGGCTAACAGGGAGAGCTACAACAGCGCTGACTGGACTAGTGTCAGTCTCAAGACTCACCCTCAGGACAGGTGAGAGCTCACAGACTGATCAGAGAACCTTCTGCAGGTCCCCTGAATCTCTCACTGAATGAGAGTTGAAGAGTTTCTATCCTTACTATCATTCCAAACTTTACCATTAGAATTAGATTGCTTCTTGCTCATGTACCAGGCGATAGTTGATGATCTCATATTCGAAGGCAGTTCAAAATCAGGCAGATGTTAATCACATTGAATGCTCCAACAGTTTCCAACTTCTTTTCTGATGCCCACAGGCAGACAATGAACATGAATGACGACTCTCGTAGGGAGACTCTGTCCCGGCAGTGGCAGGCCCGCTCGCTGACACAGATCTGCCCCTCCGGTGTCTTCAGAGTGGGCACTGTGGAAAGTGGGGTGAGGGAGCACCAGCTGCTGCCAAGAGAAGAACCCTCCCCCTTGCCCATATTCACCCCTGCAGAGCTGGGCATCAGGCTCGGACGTGGCGCTCCACCACAGAAGAGGACCTGCTGCCCTTAACGGCCCAGACGGAGCCTGTCCCAGCAGAGGAGCGTGAACGAGATCCTCAAAAAGACCTCCCTCCAGTCAAGCCTGGCTCCATGGATTTCTTCAAAGGGCCCAGAGACCTGACGTCGCTCCCTGTCCATAGAGGCCCAGAGAGGCTGATAAACAAAACCAAAAGAGGGGATGTTAGGGAAGACGAGATGGGTGCCATTTGGAAGAATAATCAATATAGTATGTGTTTAGGAATTGGCTTGAACAAAAAAATATATACAGAAATCTCGTATTAAAAAGCTGTCGATCTTTAGCACTATCTGTGTTTCTTGGCGAGCACAGCAACCAGTCATCGTCTGCAATTTGGTGGTCAGTGGTATTACAGATGGTTGTGAGGGCATTGTGGTGGAGAGGCAGGGTGTGTGGTTCTCAGCTGTGCCATGGGCTGATCTCAGCCTGTGCTGCCAGCTGGCCTCATATCTGTGTGATCAGTGAAATGACTGCGACCCCAACTATTTTTTTTTTTTTTTGCATTGAAAAAGGTATAATGAAAGTGTTCTTGAGGTCATTAGATTCATGAATCATAGAAGGTGATAAAGGTAGGCAATGACGCAGAAAGTGACCGATGGAAAATGACGTGCATGATGAAGATGAATAGTCAGAGGGGGAATGGGGGGGGGGAGTCGGAGTAGGGTTTGTATACAAGCTCTTGACAGTCTCTGATCTCTGTGTAAAGTACAGAATAGCTCTGGGCTGCAGCTGTAAATATGTGTTTGTGTTTCTTGTTAGTGGAGTGGCAGATATGTATATCCTATACAAAAGTCACTACTGTATTAGCTGAGAATGGTGGTGTTGTGAATTCATTTAAAATGTTTGTGATCATGTTGGAATATTTTACCTAGATATTTATATTTTTCCAAATAAAAGCGTCTCTGAAACTCACTACATGTGTTTTCTCTTGTATGCAACTTCTTATCTTTATATTCAATGGAGAATGGGAAAAGCTTTGGGGGATAGTGAGAGTTTGGTCATTCAAACACTGCTGAAAAAGTAATGATAGCACACTTGGGGACAAGTAATCTAAGCTCATTGTAACCTGGTTTACAAGGATTCTAGCTAAACTCCAAGGACCCAGGTTTATCTCGACACTATTGTAGTTTTAGCTTGGTTTATCACTGTGTAACACTGTGTCATAGATTAGATTGGACTATTGTTCCCTGGGGATATTGAGTTGTAGACAGAAGAAAGCTGGATACAACAGAGAGAACTGGGGATACATAGAACTACATCAAACAGGGTTTATACCTAAACACTGATTAATGAGAAAAGAAAATATGTGAATAACATCAGCCGTAAAACAGAAGAAAAAAAACATAAAAGGGAAACATCGATAATGAGAAAACTAATTTGAGGGGGTACCATGGTGCTAGAAAGACTGAAATAAATAGCTGGATTTCTCTCACCTATCATTTGGACACAGACACACTGTGACCGTGTCCACCAACCCCTAAGCAAGCCCCACTTCACCACTTTAAATCCCTCTTTATCTTTCATGTTCCCCCACGTGTGTTTGTTAGTTTCCAACACAGAGCGTACTGTTCCCTTGTTGGTGTGCAGAGCTTCACTGAATGCACTGCACTACCTCTTCTTCATTTGCTGCCTAAATCTATAATAAGCTTGATCTAATTTATTTATTATACGTCGCCATTCTCATTCCTCTTCTGATTTTATTTGCCAATTTCGTTGGTCCCCCCTATCTCTCTCTCCTCTCCTCTCTCTCTCCTCTCCTCTCTCTCTCTCTCTCTCTTCCTCGAACTCTCTCCTCGTCTCTCTTCAGTCTCTCCTCTCTCTCTATACTCTCTCTCTCTCTCTCCTCTCTACTCTCTCGTCATGGTCTCATCTCTCTCTCCTCTCTCTCTCCTCACTTTCACTTGTCTTTATGATAGGCACCGTGTGCTGGTTTGATATTAATAGCTGGGTAAACATTGGCATTACCGTGGAGACAGTGCAGAGACAGCTGTATTGGCACGTCCTAACCACTTGAGCTCTTAATCCTCATGTTTTATCAGAGATTTAGGTGTGCTGCCTTCAGCCTCGATCTTTAAAATTACCCTCCCACATGTTGATGGAATCCTGTGGTCCTCAGCACCCTGCACTGTCACAGTTTTCAAACTCAAAATGAGCCTCCAAACCTTGAAACTATTTTCAGCGTATGCCAAGGAATGTGGGAATTGATATGCCATGTGTTGTCACGGAGAAAATCTTGTAAATTGTCTCAGCTGTTTCAGCTATACTGCTTACTGAATTATCCCATTTGGCAAATTCAACCATTGCCAGCAAGTTAATGCAACACTCAACACCTGAGTTTGAATCAGTGAAGAATACAATTAAAACCTCAACTGTTGTTCTCATTTAAACCTAGCTTTTGATTGATCAGTTTGCCTACTACTCATCACAGCGTATTTAAAGACAAGGTCAGACAGTGATACACTACACAGCAATCGATCTTGTGTGTAGTGACAATCCTGCTATGTGATACAGTGACATGTTATGACATAAATCAGCAAATAGCATGCAGTGTCACTTTGAAAGCTGTTCACCGGGTCAAAACCATAGGTCAAAACAGGACTTCATCTTTCTTGTGGTCTTTTAAGCATACCACTTAACATCTGTTGCTGCTCCCTACTGGATGATTGGAGAAATGCAGGATGAATAAAAAAAGGCAAAAAATCCATTCACATGGGACTTAAATAGATGTCCTTGTTTCATCTATTGCTCATTAACATAACAAATATTGAATTGCAATAAGCTAGTACATTTCATACAACAGTGTGAAATAATGATCGTTAAGTGAACACCAATGAATGCAAGATTCGATTTTTATTTTTTTTCATACTTGTAATTTGACAGACAAGATATCTGGCAAGTGGATAGATGATCACTCTCTGCTTCTGCCTCATCAGTACTGTTGTTTGGTATGAAAAGAAAAGACAAGAAATAAAACATAACACACATCTAAAGCCTCTGATGAATTCATCTCTTCATCCATTCACAATCACCAGCACCATAATCACTTGCAACATCCCCAATCAATAAACAATCACTCTGATGCCTGCTGATGCAGCTCCTCTTGTCACCTTGCTTTCACGGCTCCTATGACATTACAGGAGCAGACAGTGTTAATTGGCTATTTGCTGGGTGATGCTGTGCTGTGTTTGTTTTACTTTCTGCAAGTGTGATGTTGGTCCCAGTGCATTGGCAAATTAATGAACCTCAATGATCATCTGACGGTCCTTAATATACATTTCCAGCATGTTTTGCTTAAACTTTGCAAAGTTTTAAATGTATCAAAACGTACATATCAAATATCACCTATGTTCTTAAAGTAAGGGCCACATCTGCAGTGTTAACACCCAATGTATTTGAGCATGTATGGGTTTCAGCTAAAGGGATGAGTTTCATGAAAAAAGAAAAAAAGAACACAGGTTGAATCTGCCTGACACGGTGGAGCCTCTGGAGAGAAAATGCCGCTTCCCTTTTTAATCAAAACCTCAGAGATTGGCTCTGTGAATATTCGATTTGGGTGCATGCTATAAAGGAAATGTCTTAGCCTGCAAGTGCAATTCGGTGATTGATTTCATACAAACTAATAATTAGGTTGAAAGGAACAGTGTCTGATTAGTTTTAAGGATTTTCCTTTCATTTTCAGAAAGATGAATGTGCATGTAATTTTGTTTTCTACTATTCTTCTCATGGTATTGCACAAATTATTATTAATGAATCAAAACTCATTCCACATTCCATAATCAGAAAGGAGCAGGAAGAAACTAGTGTTTTAAAGAAACGAGAAGCGGTTGACTGTTTTATAATCGTCTGCACCACCAGTAGGGGCGAAATGTCATTTGGTGCGAATGGCAACAAAAAGAAATCCCCAATCCCTGTTGTGAGTTATTCATGTATTATTATTCTACATTTCAGGTCCTTGGCTGAGTTTTTAGAAGGTGTTTTAATGTGCTTGTCCCCAGAAGAGGCTAACTCACGATTGTGTGCCATTGCGCATGCTCAAACCCGGGCTGATTGCAGGTGCAATTTGATTGGCAGTTTGCCGAATATGCCTACTTTGGCTAGTTGTTGTTGACATAAATTAGTAAGACTTTTTAAATGCTGCCTTTTGTAGATGAATTGGAGATTAAACACCTCGGTGCCCACCAGCCACTGGATATAAAGGTATTCTGATTCTGATATTGTTGTCAACTCCTCTTATTAGAAAAAAGAAGACCAAACGCGTAGTGATTCTCCAGGGAAAAAATGATTAACTGCTCACGTTAGCTAGTCTGAGAAGTTTTGTTCGCATTTTTTTTCGGAAGTGGTAACTGTTCAAGAAGAAACTTTAAGGATCTCAGACATCTTTATGAGACTATTACCAAACTGGAAAGAAGTAGCACAACGAGGTATAATTGAGCAAACATACCCACATTGACAGCTCACAAAACTGGGAACTGCTTATGCGATTTATTGCCTGAAATAGCACATTATGTACTTTTCTGGTTTTGCATTTTTCCAAAGTAGCCTAGTGGATGCCCCAGTAATTAGTTAAATTAAATGTCAAAGACTCAGTTACTCAGTGTAGGGAAGAAGGAGTGTGTTTGTTGGGGTCTTGGTAGACCAGTGTGGCCCAAACAGGAGCCATGCATGTCTGCCAGCTGAGGGGCAGGCTGCTAATGTGGAGGTATACTGTATCTCTGGGTCAGCCTCATTCTCTTGGATTATACCCGGGTCTCTGGGAGCCTGACACACAGTGAAGGAAACAACAGTCCTGTGCTTAAGGCTCAGGGCTGCTTAAGTTTGAGTTCACTGATTGATACTGTAAGAAAAGGAAAATAAACTGTCTTGTTTGCATTATAGAATAATGACAGCGAGGAAGATTCAGTAAATTCCAATTTAAAATAATCACCTGCTGAAATAAAAAAATGATGCAATTGTTCTACCTGTGGCCCATAGTTTTCTATACAAAAAGATTAATCTTTTATCTTTACAGCCCAAACTTTCTGTGCACCTCAGGTCCTTAAACGTTGCATTTAAAATGCATTTATTGTTTATATATATTTATTATTCACTTGCAATTTGTAAAAGATCCTTAATGTTTATTGGATGGTCAGATTTCAACCCAGTCCAATGAAACACAAGCAACTGGGAAGGCTTAGAATTCAGAAACTTCGACACATTTTTAATTTATAATTAATAAATAAAATATTATTTGAGTAGAGCTATAGGAGATCGCAAGGTTCCATGAATTTGATTAAAAATACAACTTATCTCAAGAAAATTCATATCAGGAACTTGGTGAATTGGTATTAAATGAACCTATAATGCATCTGGATATTGTTTATGATCTGCAGTGGAATAATAATATGTTTTGTTGTAGCTTGGTTGAACTCAATTCACTTTTCTACATATTATTATATCAAAACTCAAAATTAAATTCAAAAATGCAATTTACAGTATGAGCAACTTCAGTCTTTGTTTATTATTATTTTTTAGGTTCCACTACAAAACCTGTTTTACATTACATGTTACATTACATGTCACTTGTTAGACGCTTTTATCCAAAGCGACTTACATACTCAATACTGTGGGCAATCCCCACAGGTGCGATTTGGGGTGAAGTGTCTTTCCCAGGGACACAACGACATGCTGACTGCAGTGGGGTTTGAACCTGTGACCCCCTGATCCGAACACCAAGGCTTTATCGACTGCGCCACACGCCTCCCTGTTTGAATAAAACTCTATTTATTTTATTAAATCAACTGAGACTGATCCTTTTTTGGTTCCCACTGCAGGGCCGACGGAGGGCTGGAGGATCGGAAGGAGCTGAGAGACGATCTGTTCATGTCATTCATGATGACCTGCTGCATCTGGACAGTCTTGATCATCATCAGATC